CCCACAAGGTGGGAGTATTGCATTTTATTATAGCAAGAGATCCATGATGATGATATTCTGCTGTGTTCAATGATGAGCGCCAATGTATTCTTTTAACATTATATCAAATGTTGCAACAGCTGACATGAGGCCTATACAAATCCTTAGCTACTGATTTTACATGTGTTCGTTTGTAAATAAAGGCTAACACAATTTAATCCACAGCACACACGTCTCAACATTACGATATAGAATAGGACAAAAGCCTGTCTGAGTCCTCTCTGTGTAGTCTACCACTTTTACACATGCTCCAGCTACATTTTTATTTCCATACTTTTGAATTACTTCGGTATAAAACAGTTTAAAATGACCCAAAGACGCAGGACCTTTATTATACAACTCTTAGACAAAATGGCGGATGACAACAGTTTCCAAGCTAGGATTGGTTAATAAAATGTTTAAGGTGGGGCTTAACAAAGGTGTATTTGCTTGCACATTTGAGATATCTATAAAGGAATTTTAACTAGTCACATTGTTAATTCCAGCTATCTACATCATACTTCTCACATTGCTGATTTCACCATTAACTCTTCACCTGAACAGTTTATGTTGTTGTATGTGGTATCATTGTAATCCTTGACCATCAAAACATAGGGGGGTAGACACCATTTCTGTGTTATCATGTTTGGTTCAGGAGATATGACACAAAATACATCATTTGGTTATGGCAGAATGTAAAATGGTCGCCATGGCAACCACGGGGTGTTTTTGCGATGGCTCCATTTCTGAAAATGTTCAGGGCCCTAACCTATAGAACTGTACCAAGTTTCATGCTTTTATGAAAAAGTGAACATATCACCTGGACTAAGAGAAAATGAATGCCATTTTTAGTTCCGGAACCCGACTGTTGCACTATTACAGATCGTCATATTTGTTCTGTAATGTCAGGGACTATATCTAGTGGAAGAATAGTAATTAATAAATTTGCTTAACAAAATGATGTTTTACGTGTGCCCTTAATATTTTATATAACAATTTTATCGTACTAAACAACGCACTTTAACTGTCCATGACTATATTCACTAAAGTCAGCTTCTACACTCTGTGTTCCAAGGCGATGGAATATTATGTTAACATTAGTAAAATGTCTCCAGTAAGAATATGGTTACCATGGTAAAGCATATCCCATCCTCAAGCTCAGATCACCTGTACCCAGGGGCATCATGCACTTCTTATTTTTGAGGGGACACAAGTGAAAGGGGGGGAGGCCTCGTCATGCTTGTCACGTGACACACAGCAGCCACAATAGCGCTGTATAACATGGGTTATGTTTTAGACGTTTTATTACATTTTTTCTTTCTATTCGAAATATTCCCAAACGTTTTAACTATATCATGAAATATATCGATTCCCAAATATGTATAAGTAAATGCATTTGCACCTTTATAGATCCTGTTAGTTGATCTATGCGATGGCCAAAATAATGTTAGCCTAATGTTAGTGTACTCCATTAACTATTAGTGTAATACGTTAACTACCAACTAACATACCATCCATTAAGTCTTTTTACCTAAGTATCAGATATGTGTGTCTGCCATAAAAAATGTGTTATTTAGAGGACTCATCTAAACGCCTCTGATTGGCCAATGCATTCAGCTCAACAGAATCCTGTGTGCGATTGGTTATAATGCGCAGCGCTGTAAAAACGTGTCTGTCTCTGGCTCAGCGCCAGCCAAAGTGCGAACGCAGATTTGAATTTAGCAGTTGATGTGCCACACTGAATCTGGGGAAGAAAAAAAAAAAGATATATATATATATATATATATCATTCGGCAATTTTTTGTCTTTTGGAAGCTGCATTCAAAATCCACTTGGCTCAAAAATCTAAGGGGGCACGTGCCTCCTCAGTTTGAATGGGCATGACGCCTCTGCCTGTACCTGTATATAAGGGTAGGTGTTCTTGATCAGGTAGAACATCTTGCGGTTGGAGTTCAGATCACCCAGCGTGAGCTTTTCACTGTCCCCTTCTTTTGTTTTGCCCTTTGACTTTTCCTCTAGTGTGTTGTCCTCCCTGATCCTCTTCACCTCACGTCCGCCCTGCACCGCAGCCTCCATGGACAGCGCGAGCAGCTCTCTCAGATCCACAGTCCTCTTCAGTCTGAACGAGGCGATTCTACTAGATAAAACTCCCGCGTAAAGGTGATAGATCACACCAAATCCTAGTAAGCAGAACAGAGTTATGCCGAACGGGGACAATCGGATGCCCATCGGAGCCATCACAAAGGCGGACGTGCGAGCAAAGCCGATGAATACCAGAACAGGGCAAAAGCTAAACTAGACGTGTTCCTCTTTGGTGATCATTTGCACGTAATTTGAACGCACGTATAACGCAAACGATTAGAAAAGCGTGCGAGCTAATCAAGTGTTACTTATTCCTTCACTGGCGAAGTCCAGTTTAGGTCAAGCGAAAGCTTCCTCCTTTGGTTTGTAGTATATTCCCCAGTCTTAGTACAAATATCTCTTTTCTCACAGTGACAGATCCATGGCTGTGACAGCGAGTAATACTGAATGCATTCCACGTCCACCGTTGTGTCAACCAAGGCCGAACTAACACTCTCCGTTTTTCTTCCTGGTCAAGAAGAAACAGAAAACAGGTTTGAGCACGAGAGAGCGCCCTCTACTGCTTCAGCATCACAAGCCTCCAATAGTATCCAGCTGCAGACTAGAGGTCTGCTACCCGACCCGAGCCCGACGGGTCCCGAAATACTTTCGGGTTTCGGGTCGGGTTCGGGTTAATGTTTAATGAATAGCTTCGGGTTCGGGTCGGGCTCGGGTTTATAGCTAAACTAAAGCTATATGCATTAGGCTACGCTGCTTTCATAGATGCACGCACACACATTATTGCACACTACAACGACAACACAGCACGGAACCTTTTATTAGTAAAATAGCTTCGACAGGCTACTGACTCGCAACATTATATTTCTCTGCAGTAAAATCGCTGTTTTTGAAGTAACTAAGCCTCATTGCTTGTAGAGAGAGACGCACAGAGGCAGGTTCACACATGCAACTTTCAGCCCTCTCTCTCTCTCTCTCTCTCTCTGGCTAATTCAAATAAATGATAATTAATTAATTCAAATAAATGCGATTACCGCCAGGGGCGATTCTAGGATTTTCATGGCGGGTATTACATTTTTTTAATGAGGGTATAAAAACAATTATATATATATATATAATGTTTGACTAATAGGGGTGGTATGCTAAATTTATATACCAAAAAGTGCAGTATTCCACTGTATTGCATAGATAGGTATAACTAACATAGAACTGAATAAGCCAAATACAATTCTTCATATCTCACACACACACACACACACACATTCCTGTTTACTGTACAGACAACATTTTACTGTTTGCATTTCTAGTACAACCCTCTTTCCTTAGCTCAAGTATACAAACCTCTTTGCCACATGCACTGGAAAATGTATTACATTGAAAGTGAAATTTTCAAATGAAAATGGCAACATGATCGTTTTATAAAGGTACTAAATATAGGCTCAAAGATGCACTAGTCAAAGAGACATGCCAGTCAAATGCATTTCAAATGCAAATCAAAACAGGCAGAGGCAAGGATCTATGTGCAGGTATTTAATGGAAAAACTAGAACAAACAATAAGCCAAAAATCAAAGAACAGAATGACTGGCAAACAGACAACCATTAGATTCAACAATTCACAAGGAACTAAAGAAAAACTAGGGCTATATAAACACATAGGGGGCTAACAAGCTTAACAAGATAAGACACACCTGGGGAGACTAATCAAGGGGAACCAATGAACAAACAGACTACAAACTGACTACAAACACCACGGGAGACAGGAAGTGACATAAAAGTACAGGGCAAGGCACAGAGAGCATGAGACAAAAACAAGAAAGAGTCGATTTGTGAGGAGAGCAATCATGTTTATTTTCTAAAACCAAAATAAAACTGAACACCTCCAAATTACAAAACAAACAAAAAAATATATATATATATCTTTCAAAAAGGTCTCTTCAGTAGGCTATAATGGATAATATATAAAACACCTCTGATTCACAAATACTTGCTAAGGAACTTGCATTCACATAAAGTAGCCTTGTTGACAAGTTTGGGTGAGTAAGGGCAAAACGCACAAGATGCAGTACTTTCAGTGACCTGTAATAGGCAATATCACGTCTTTTGTAGCAGAAATAAACTGCTGCAGAAAAAAAAAGCTAAGTCCATGCGAAATGTAATGTGTAACTGCAACAGTCACTTCAAATGTAGAGTAAAGAGTACAGATACTCATTAAAAAATGTAGTGAAGTAGAGAGTAAAAGTTGCTAATATCTTATTAATTGAGTGACTAACCCATGCAACAAGAAACAAGAATTAGACCAATAAAGAAAACAACTGACAACATTTATTGAGGAGGGAAAATAAAGCTCTCCGAGCTAACGGGACAATGAGTTCACACAGTATATTCAAAAGACGTATTTTCCAGTAAAAAAAAACTGCCCAAAGTAGCGTAATTACCATGTCCCAAATATAAAAATTTAATTTCCATCCCTAAAATACATATTTTACAGTCACTGTTATGCACATTTATCATGGATTTTAGATCACTTCAAGACACATATACAGGTACTGTCTCGTAAAATAGTCCATCGTTCCGTGTTTATGAATGAAGATATTAAT